TGGGCAGGGCACTGGCTTGGGACTGAAGTCCTCTCTTAAAGTCCAGTTTTGAGCAGAACTTTGCAGCACAAACTGACCTTTATTCCAGTACATTTCCTGCCATTTGATTAATGCAGATTGTAGCTTATTTGTTCGTTGCCTTTACCAAGATTCTCTCATGTGAACTGATGCAATACAGTTCAGGCAAACAACTTGAGCTGCACTGCTACATTGACAAATTCTACTGCAGCATGCATGTAATATACCCTTGGCTATAAGTCTATTTAAGCTGACAATTCTCTACTATTGTCCTCTCCCAATGCTTCTGCTGCTTGTAAACACTACTGCAACACCGCCACTACTCATTCAGGTTTCATAAGCCCCGCATCCAACCCAGAATCCACCTGTAGGCTATAAAGTTCTCTCCAGGGAGGGAAGTTAACTATGATCAATCCCCATTGTACTCTGTGCTGAGCTTTGACCATGCACATGGGAGTGATGGGGTGAGAGAAAAGGCGGTTATTGGTGGTATCGCGACCAACATAAAGGTTAAGCTCTAAGCAATAAAAGTTTTTTTTACTTATGCTAGCTTGCTAGTTGCAGCAGTAGCAAACACAGGGTTGTTTAAGTGGGCGATGACATACTGAAGTTGAATACGAAAATATTATTCAGCTTTTTTTGCTGAATCAATTTTTGCTTTTTCCTCCTAGCCTGGTAGGAAATGTTCCGCGGTCTCATCCCATACTGTATTCTTCTCAACGTTAGCATCTCTGCATCCCACATGAAAGCTGTTGATATGATTGAGCATTGTTGAGACAGTTTTATATACAATCATCAATGCGATGCAAGGGATCCTCAGCTTTAGCTTCTTGTCTGACAGTTCCACCCCTGAAGGCAAACACAGTTTAATTTACAGCGATGTGCGTAGGGTTGTTTTGCCCAGTGGGGTCTTTGTGGGTTTCCTGGCTGTGCTTTGGATGTGGTTTATGTGTTCTGCCTGCTGCGTGAAGCATGAGCCGTGGTAGTCATCCCTTTCATTTTATGGCACTTTCTGGAAATACAGACATGTGAACAGATGAGTATGAGCATGTTAGACATGTTTGCAGATGGAAAATGAGCAAGGTTAATGGCTTTATTGGCAAACAAATTTTGATAATTTGTTAGCGGTCCAGCAGTGAGTGCTGGGGACTGGTCCTGGGTTGAGATTGGCATGCAGAGATAAATAAAAAGTGACTCACGCGAAACAGCATTACAGGAATGTGCTGGCACTGACAGAGAATCAGAAGGTGTCGAGAGCAGCTCAAGACAGATTTGCTTCTAAAAGTTGTCCCCTCAGCAGTAGCACAAGCATCCATGATGTCCTGGCCTGTCTGAATTCATCAGGCCCCACAGCAGGTTTTTCTTCACCCTCCTACTCCGGGTAGTTGGGCACATTCCAGATGATTATAGAAACTCTGCTACAACTTTTTATGATTGTTATAATTATGAGACCATTACATCCCTGTGGCCATTCCAGCTGTGAAAACGTGACTGTGGATTGCAGTTTAAGAGGAGAAAACATCTGTTCTGTTCGGTATCAATATGAGGCATCAAAAAACACTTTTACTCCGTTGATTCATTCCACTGTCAGGTTCTTGTCAGTAAAAGCCTAAGGGGAAAATAAAGATG